CCTTGAAATACTAGACTATGTAATCACACTAATCTTCATAGGTGGGGATGTTCGGTTAGTCATGTTTACTTAAGAGATATCTTAGTATCGATTGAGATAAAAGGTCTTCAGCACACTAGTTGATGGAGCGGCCTAGCTATTGRATCGCCTTTAAAATGATTCCTTTTTATCAAGTTCGAATTGTATGGTATTTTCATCCAGAAGTCTTTCTACCATTGCATGATACATTATAATTTTTTGAAACCGGTTTTTTTTTTTTCTTCTTCTTCTCTTTTTCCCCCTTTCCTTCTTTTTTTTCTTTTCTTTTTCCTTTTTTTCTTTCTTTCTACTTTCTTTTTCTTTCTACTTACTTTTTCTACTTTCATTATTCTTTATATCATATCGCGAAACAATTAYTACTCATATCTTTATCCAAGCATTGCAACTGGTACGCAAAAGTTCTTCATCAAAATTCTTCATTGACATTTTGATTCCTTGTGGGGTGAAAATAAAACCCGAAGAATCCCCAAAACACAGTACAGAACAAACAAAGTAATGACATCTACCAAGGYATGTACAAAATCACATGAAACGAGGATCGATATCGTTTCAGATCGRAAGAGGCGAGTGACTTCATCGAATCAGGCTGTCTATTACGGATGATCCGATGTGAATTGTTTCAGGCTCCGACAGGTGAACAAGAAAACGGTTCTTCACAATGTCTTAACATCATTTTTTCCAATGTGCTGGCGACAATATGAATGATTGTTAATTATAAGAACATTTTTAAACGTAGCTTATTTACGCCACTGACTAACAAAGATGAGCTGATTTACCCCGATGAATGAAAAATCTTTGAGAGTTCAAGCTGTTTTATTTGACATGTGTAGATCTTTGTTCACATACACTTGTCTGGATCCGATTTTCTTCTTTTCTAGAATATTATTGGCAAAATGAAAGGATTATTTTGTTATTGAATAAGCCCTAGTGTATAAATATGATTTATGCGTACGGTTAATCAAGGATAAGACGCCCTAAGCAATATGACTGATATGGAGTATATCCAATACCTGTTAATTGGGTTAACGTGGTCCTTAGAACCTAGGCCAGARACGGGGTCTTGATTTGAATGACTTWTTGATCGGATTTTTAAACCAGAAATTRAATTTTTGTTAAAACAACAAAATCAACATGCGGTTTATAGCGTGCTGATCTCAATATCCGTTGGAATTAAAGACAATCCGATCTAGCTTTGGATACGTCTGAAATTAAAACCGCACATTGTTTCGCTTTGTTTTCTTTACTTTTATCTCCTTTCCTTTCTTTTCCTTTCTTCTCCTCTCAATTTCCTTTTTCCTTTCCTTTCCTGTCTTTTTGCTCTTCTCTTCTCTTCTCTTCTCATCCACCTAAAATTAGATTTAGCTTTAAAAAACATCTGCTTAGAACGCAATATTCTTGAAGGAAACAATAATTCCAGCACTTCAAAAACCATACATCGAAGATTGGAGGCACTTAGTCTTAAAGC